AGGAACTAAATTATATAGAAATAAGCCGCACAAAAAGAGACTTGACTGTATAAATGAAAAAAAAAAAGATCATTTATTTACAAAACAATATTTTCAATAGTGAATCCGGACTGATCAAAGCAGCTCTACTTTGATAAGCCGCTGATGATGTAAAACAATAAACATAATTAAACATAAACATAATAAATAACTACTTTCTAATTAAAAAAATACTTAAAATTTGATAGATATTTCAGTCAAATTAGTTTAAGTGTATTTTACTTGTTTGTGTATAAAAATATTCTTTAATTTTGATTCGGAAATATACAAAAAAATACGAATAGACTTTTCCAATTGAAATTATATACAATAAAATACAAATTGTAGTCAATGGAAAATCGTATCAACTATGTTATCAATTTTTTACTTATGATTTTGAATGAAGTGGAATAGCGAAACTTTTGAATTGGGATCACATTTGAACATAACAAAAAAAAATGATGTTATTCGACGAAACGCAGTCTGGCTTTTCCATTCATTTGCGAAATACAAATATTCATTTTTAATTCGCGTTTGAAGCTCACTCGTATCCGGGTAAATACAATTTTTGGCACATGACTGATTTATGTATGTATACGCATATTTATTTTAGTTCCATGCAATACTATTTCTATACTATTTTTATTTTTAAATATTTAATCGCTGTTCAAATACTGCCGTAATATCCGGATCCTTATTTACTTATGGAATGGCAATTAAAACTTTGCAACGAATTTTGGATTCATTTTATGGCGGTTTGAAAAGTTTTCGCAGAAGTTACTCGCAGATGGATTGGCTTATATCTTTGGGTCTGGTATTTGTTGCAAGTTGCAGAGTACCTAGACGATTTTACTTTATGTAAAGGCTATTTAACAGATTTATGGCTCGGACTCTAACCTAAGGTGCAGTTAGCGAGATTACAATTTTATTACGATCCTAGTTTCCTTAGTAATGGATTATGTAATTTTTTTGTCGTGTAATTTTATTTACAATCTGTTCATCATTGTGAACATTTAGTAAATTTAAGATCTCGGTTAACATTAGGTAGGTAATCTTTCCCGGTGGATAGTTAACATTATGATGATTTTTAATTTGTATTTTGTTGCTTTGAGAGGGTTCACAAAGGGCCTGGCTTCACCAGGATTTGAACCTGTAACCATTCGGCTATTAGTTGCCCTATGTAATAATTGGAATTATGTTCAGCTTATAACAGCTATAATCAAAAATATTAATAGATTTAGTATTACAATAATACTACAATACCTCTCATAGTCCGGGTAATCGGTTCTCAGAATATTTGAAACCGGACTAAACAACTATTTTAAAATCGCACTAAAACGTCTGTATAAATTTCTAAAAAGTAAATTTTGTTTATTTTGAAATGTTTATACTGACAATTTAAATTAAGCGCCAATTTATTTATACTGTCATTAGTAAGCAGTCGAGGTTGTAAAAATGTTATCAATTATCAACTAAAAAAATGTTTTTTTTTTAATAAAATGTCAGTTCAATTTGGGACACCCTGCATATAATAACATAATAATTGATTTGATTTTTAATTAGAAGCAAGCATTGATTAATCATAACCCAGTTTTTTTTATCATTTTTATTTGGACGTGAAAACATATTTTTGTATAAGATTTTATCTACTAATTATTTTTATTATTATAAATATTGAAAAAAATATAATTTTACATTAATTCTAATGTCAAACACGGTTTCGGTTATGTAACAGCCTTTGGAAATGAATAATGTTTCGATTCACTGTATTATATTCGTATTATTTTATATATAAAATTGCTTATGAAACTTTAATAATATATAAAATATGTTGCAGCAAAGTACACATTTTGCTATGACGACGAAACCAGCAGATATTTGCTTGCTTCTCAGTGTTGTCATATATTACAGAAGTGTCACCGTCGCGTACCAAAATATTTTCTCGTGGGATAGAGCATATCATTCTTGCTGGCAACAAGAACATAAATATTTGATGCAAATAAGATTTCGTTTTTTTTTTCTCTTTTTACTTATATATACATATGAAATATATGCAGTTACTTATAATAATAAGCTGCAAAGACTTTCACAAATATGTAAATAAATATAATATTCATTACAATAATTATATAATGATGTCCCAGAAATAACATGAAATAACAACGCGTTAATAGGTAATGAAAGGTAGAGTATTAATTAAAATGATTTGATTCTGCTCAATAAGTGACCTTTGAGTCCTTGTAGTAAGCAATTAGACGTTTCAAATATATCAGCGTACCTAAAAGATTCGACTGACCTAAGAAATTTGTTTGCAACATTTGTACTTTACAACGTACTAAAAATATTATCACTTTTCGAATAACAAATGTGTGAAATAAAAAAAAATAAATCCGTCATTTTTTTTAAATATCCTTATATAATTATATTAATTAATATTAAATCAATAACATAGTTAATTAAAAATAGAATTGTCCGCACTATACTCATATTCAAATAAAATTATGAAACCGATACAAAAGGAATTGAATTATTCAATTACAATCAAATTAATGTGTAAATATTTCGCATTGCGTTTACATTATAAAATAATCGAATGCTTAATGAAAAGTAAAGCGCGTTCGAAACTAGTTTTCACTGCATTAGCATTACCGGATGCATGCATAAAACGGCAGTAAGTTAGGAAAACGTATAGAGCCGATTTTGTTTAAGCGTAAGATCAGTGTAATCTCCTTGCCCTCAAAGCTAAGGACCCGAAGCGTTTAAAATATTTTTCGCGTGAGTTGAAAATTTACATAATCGTCCTTTCTGTATAAATTGTACGTGGACCTTATTTCCCTGCTCTTCGGCTCAACTGCTGCTTCTGCTACAAAATTACCTGCTATCGATTCCTCCTACTTCTTCGCGCAGTAAACAGGAAATCCTGCTCGGGAAAATATGTGCCAACTCCACTCGTTTACGAAAAGACCATCGACAAGCAGTTAATTAATGAATGCAGCAGCAGTATTCTATTTCCCGGCCAACTAACTGTCGTCACACCAGATCGAGAGCACATGTACTTTTAATTGAGCAATTAAGTAGGTAAATTGAATATCGCTGAAAGCTGAATTTCGCGTTGCATCTAATTACTTGTTGATGGAGATTCTGATACGTACATAACTGAAACCCTGCTGTGTTAATAGCTTACTGAATTTCGATTTCTCCTCTGACACCTCACCACTCCCTTACTTCAGTTTTCGTGTATTGGAACTCCTGAATTAGTATTTTAATATTGCATCGCCTCGAGCGTCCGAAAACAATATTGAAAAGAAAGTCACATTCAATAAGGAATTCCGTCCCTATTGCTATTTGTATGTGTGTATATAGAAACAGTGTACTATTCAATTTAATATTTAGGGTTCGGTCGTCCGAAATGAGAATGTTACAAATAAACGGAAGATAATGGAAAGAGATATGGTTGGGAGAGAGCAGCCAGGCGAAGAATCAAAGGGAAAGAAATATTAAATATTGATGTTTTATTTTGTATTCTGGCATCTCTGCGTTTTCGACTATGGTGCAATATTGAAATGAAACCGGTTCAATCAGTTTCGTTCAATTATACTCATGCGATTACGCAAATGTTTGTTTTGTAATTGTTTTATTACGTTTCCCATGCCACATATTCATATGGAAGAATACACTAACGAATTACATTAGGTACGGTTCATTTGGTATCGCAACCAAAACAAATATTGTATAAATGTCTGGGATTCTACCAACTACCATTCAAATAAACAAATTTGTATGTATGTTCAATGTATGTTTCATTGCAAATTGATCAGTATTTCTATGGTTATAGGTAAGAATATTAAATTGCGCGTGTAATCTTATTAATTAACTCATTATTACATAATGTAATAATTTTTGATTATATACACTTATATGAAAGTTAAGTAAAATTTTGAGTTTAGTGATACATGTAGAAGGTCACCCATCCATGTACTATTCAGGACAAACATCTCTTAACAAAGCTATCAAATATCAAGGATCTTACGAACACCACTCAACATTTAGTATCCTGCTACGCACTACACAATAATTACTTTCATGTGCACTTGGCAAACAAGTCGTGTAAGTCAAACGGTACAAATTACTACATTTAGCATATTGCATTTAAGTTGCTACATTTGCTAAGTACTTTTAGTAAGTAAT